GAAGCGTGAAATATTAATTTATTATATATATATATATTGTGATAATTTAAATTCTCTTTGATTTTGTCGAGTGCTAAGTGAATAAGAGTAAATATTTTAAACCTACCACTATCAACTACATCTTCTATGCTTGTATCTGGTCCTAAGTCATGTGCCATGGCCCCGAGAACAGAGAAGATAACCATTCCAGATATGATACTGGTGATTGTATCCATGACGCTTACAACCATTGCATCCCTTATAAAAAATGCATAAGGTGTTAGAAATTTCAAAGACTTTCGAAGCATAATGCGTTCAAAATGGTTGCAGGTTTAATATGACATTAATGTTAACATTACTATCGTATAACTTGAATTAATTTTAACATTATTATCGTATAACTTGGATGAAGTTATGCTCCAAATTGAACGGAAGCATGGTTTAATTTCACACATTAACAAATTATCAGCAAATGTTTTCCAAATTATGGTTTAAAGTACTATTAATACGTTGTTAGAATTTTCCTTCTAAAATTACAGTAAAATAACATTTACGGTTTTGTGACCGTTTGAAATTAATATGGTTAAAAAACATGAACATGATAACATGATATAAACATGAATGCAAACTATATGGTTTTTTAACAATTTACCACCAGCATGGTTACAAAGCCGTAAAAGAGAAATTTAACTGGACTTTGGAGTTAGGCTTTCTGTTAGGTAATGCGCATTGGAGTTAGGTTGTGGTTTAGTTGCATTTTATCAAATAAACCGTTGAATGTTGTTCAAGTAATTTATTTGGTTGTTTCACCCTAACGTAAAAGATGGAAAATGCTATACTTTTTTTGCTGGTTAATGATTTTTTAACGGGTTAATGATGCTGCCATCTATGCGTGAATAATAGTATCGTATTTTAATAGTCCAGACTCACAAATTGGAGACACAGGAAACTCTCCATGTTTCGAAAGGAATTAAATAAATATTGTGGTGTGAGCGCTGGGACATGAAACCCCGTTCTGTCGGGCATGATATTGACAGATTAGCCCTCTCCGCCATTATATGCACCAGTATACATAGGGCTATTATATGTGGCTACAATTAGTGGGGTTAGATGGTGTGAAAAAATTCATTCTGGTTGCTTCATCATATTAGGTGAAAACAGTTAGTAAGCAGTGTTTCTCATAGTTAACAGTTTATTTATGGTTATTTCACTGCTTTGTTGGAAAGTGGTAAGGTAACAAATAAATAAATCGTTATTTAATCATTTTAAAAAAAAATATTCTAACAGTGTATGGTTTAAAAACGAACAGATTTTTCTGAGAGTGTTATTTAAAATAACAGCAAGCGCAATTAATACGAAATCTATTAACATTATATTTATCAATTTGGTTTTTTCAATGATGGTTTATTATTAAATTGATAAATAATTTGTAAAGGTGATTGATTCTAGAATTTGTGATTTTTCAAAATTCAGAAAGATTTTTATGAGTGTAATCATAAATTATTTAAAACTAATTATAAGACATTTTGATATTTAGGAATCGGGAAAAAATTTGAGGTATACTTTTCAATCATTGATTTTATTTTGAGTGCTTAATTTTTAGGATATTTCTTTTTTATTAAAAGGGACATCTGATCTTAAATCATGAATCTTGTTACCAAAATTTGGCTTAATCCAAGATCTAATTAATTTCAAATTAAATCTAATATTTACCTAGAACAGATAGAAGAACTTTTGGTATCGTTTAAAATCGGTACTTATCTTAAAATAAACGTGAATATCTCTTTATAAACTTTTAAAATAATATTAATTGGATAAATTTTATGATTGTTGTGAAAACTCTAAAAAATGCTTTTTTTTCCACAATATTATGTACAATGGCTATATATATAACGCTGTTTAAATATGACCTAATTACAATTTATAATGTCTTATAGAAAATTAATATATTTTTAGATTTATAAAATTTGAATTATTTGAATTATTTTTGTAATATATATGTGTGGTAATATTTTTATTTATAAAAGTTAAACATGGATTCTTACGAATAAAGTAATAAAATAATTTTCAGAAGAGTGAATTTATTAAAAAAGCATTGAAATAAAAAAACTAACAGTATCATGAGAAATTTCTCCCTTAATTTAGTTGATTGACATCTGATATTAAAAAGAAATGAAATCAGTAATAGATTAACCATTTGTGAAAAGCGAGAGCTTTTAAATTTTTCTTAAAAAAAACTGAAGTTGCAGATTAAAAACTAACGAAGCGTGAAATATTAATTTATAAAAAAAATATAAGTTGAATTAAATTGAAAAAAGCCTTTTAGGGACATAAAAAATATATTAAAATATAGTTAATAAATACTGCTTTAGATACGGAAATTTAATTTCAATGAAACATGAATACTGATGCTTGAGTTTGGTTATCCAAAAATAAAAATACATAATAAAGATATTATTCAATAAAATGTTTGTAAAAGTTTCCTCATTTAGAAATATTTCATGATATATTAACTGATTACTCGTAAGATATATTTTTAAATATAAAACTGAAGATAAAAAAATAAGATTTTATGTTTCGTCAGAAATATTCGAATGCTTAAAATTGCTCTAATATTTAATAACTTAAATAGTTTAAAATGTTTTATGGCAACAATGTTAAGCTAACTTTAAGAAACCAAACACAAAAAATGTGTAACAACGAAACATTCCTTTCAATGCTTGCGCATTTGACCATAATTCCATTAGAAACTACGCAAAATGGAAATTCAAAATGGCAGTTATTACAGAATAATCTGCGTTTCCTGTAGAGCTTTTGAATTCTCTAAAATTACGATATCTACAACATGAAAACGATTTCCATAAGTGAAGATATTACGAAATAATCTGCGTTTCCAATGGAGCTTCCGCAATTCTTTAAAATTTCGTTAACAAATGCATGAAAAGAGCAGTTATTGCAGAATATTCTGCGTTTTTATAGAGCTTGTACGATTCTCTAAAATTATAACAGCTGCTACATGAAAATGATTTCAAAACTACAGCCATTATAGATAAGCTGCGTTTCGTATGAATTTTTTTTCGATTCTCTAAAATTACGATTGCTATTATATGAAAATGATTTCAAAAGTACAGATATCGCAGAATAATCTGCGTTTTTATGGAGCTTGAAAAGTTCTTTAAAATTATGATAACAACTGAATGAAAAGAATTTTAAAAGGCAGCTATTACAGAATAATCTGCGTTTCTTAGGAATTTTTCAGTTCTTTTAAATTATGATAGCAACTACACGAAAAGTGTTTTAATAGAACAGTCATAACAGAAAAATTTATGCTCTCTTCAAAGATTGCTCACTTGAATGAAATGATTTATGTGAAATTAATTTCAAAGGTTGTGCTAAAATTTTTTAATAATTGAGTGATTAAATTGTTGGTAAATAAAAAAATTCTAAAATATTTAGCTTACTCAAAGTCTTGCAAATTTACATACTTGAATTTTGAAAGGTATCGCAAAAGATAAATCGAAATTATTTTCAACTCAAGCATTGTTTAAAAGCAAAATTTTAGAAAAATCAAACTGTTTTTTAACGGTCTCCAAAACGACAACACTTTTGTGAAGAAACATTTTTAAAGTATTTAACATTCGGTTAAAAGCTTAAAGCTAAATACTTTAAAAATGTTTAACAGATTTCATAAGAATTTAATACTTCATTATGAAAGCTTACTAAAACTTCAGTATGATTTTAAGATATCCGACTAGTTTCGACAACTTTTTTAAAATATTAATATAAAATTAAAAAAAAATAGTTAATATGTTTCATTGTGTTTAAAAACTTATGAAACTGGCAAAAAATATTATTATTTTATTAAAAGGCTATTTTTAAGTAAAAATGAGGCATTTTTTTGCATATAAGCTAAGCATTAAAAAAAAAAATCTATAGCACAAAGCAAAAAATCCAATGAGGATTTTATTTAGAAAGCCAGCAACTTTTTAATTATTATTTTAGAAGCAAGTGCATGTACTACTGAGTTAGGAATCACTGTAGTTAAAAAAGCAACTTATTAAAAATTTTGCGAAAAAACATGCATAAAAAATGAAATTCTGCTTTTTTCTCTTAGTCTGTATTTCACAATATGTGTGCTATAATCATAAGCAATCATGAAAAATTGTGGACAGTTACTCTTAAAAACAATATGAGATATCGTGTTTAAGCTGTGGTGAAATGAGAAAAAGCATGATTCTGAGATAAACGCATTTAAAGACTTAAAATCACTAGTCCATGCACTGTTATCATCTTGCACATAAACTGCTAAAACTTTGTAAATAATTAGAGTACAAACAAAAGCAAAGTATTTTCAGAAAGCTACAACTACAGAGGATCTAAATTTATAATACACTCAATTTAAAAAATTTGTCCAAAATCATGTTTTTGCACAAGTCAGATACCTTAATAAGCATATTTCTTACCGGAATATATCATTTCTAAAATCATTGTAACTGCTGTACATAATTAAGGCCCCCATCGATACTCCCAAGGAAAAGAACATCTGGCCGGCAGCCGCTTGCCATACCTAAATTATTCAGAAAATAGAAAGGATATTTTATGTCAGTAACATTAAAACGCATTTTATAAGAAGCAAAGAATTAAAAACGGAAAATAATAATAACCCTGATATCTAAAAGTTTGTGCCAGTCAGGCATGAAAAAATACTGTATCCCTTTCAGAGAACCTTCTTGTAAGAGACCAGTTACAAGGAGAATAAAAAGTATACAGTAAGGAAATGTAGCAGCAAAATATACCACCTGTAAGAGAAACAAAATATTGTCAAAAAATAGCAAAAAAATGCATAAGAATGAGTTAAAATTATTTTATTAGATTAGATTATGTAAAGAGAAACAAAATATTGTCAAAAAATTGCGACATGCATAAGAATGAACTAAAATTATTTTATTAGATTAGATTATATAAAGAGAAACAAATTATTGTCAAAAGATTGCAAAATGTATAAGAATGAATTAAAATTATTTTATTAAATTAGAGTATGTAAAAAGAAACAAAATATTGTCAAAAGATTTCAAAATGCATAAGAATGACTTAAAATTATTTTATTAGATTAGATTATGTAAAAAGAAACAAAATATTGTCAAAAGATTTCAAAATGCATAAAAATGACTTAAAATGATTTTATTAGATTAGATTATGTAAAGAGAAACAAAATATTGTCAAAAGATTGCAAAATGCATAAGAATGACTTAAAATTATCTTATTAGATTAGAGTATGTAAAGAGAAACAAAATATTGTCAAAAGATTGCAAAATGCATAAGAATGACTTAAAATTATTTTATTAGATTAGAGTATGTAAAGAGAAACAAACTATTGTCAAAAGATTGCAAAATGCATAAGAATGACTTAAAATTATTTTATTAGATTAGAGTATGTAAAGAGAAACAAAATATTGTCAAAAGATTGCAAAATGCATAAGAATGAATTAAAATTATTTTATTAGATTAGAGTATGTAAAGAGAAACAAAATATATTGTCAAAAGATTTCAAAATGCATAAGAATGAATTAAAATTATTTTATTAGATTAGATTATGTAAAGAGAAAAAAAATATTGTCATGAGATTGCAAAATGCATAAGAATGAATTAAAATTATTTTATTGGATTAGAATATGTAAAGAAAAGCGAAATATTGTCAAAAGATTTCAAATTGCATAAGAATGAAATAAAATTATTTTATTGGAGGCTATAATTTTGTGTATTTTGCATAGCATAGAACCGTGAGGGGGTCATTATTCCATTTTAGTTTGCATACTACATTACATTCACCTCCTTCCATGACAAGTTTTAAGCGATGTTTGATTGAAATTGGAGAGAAATCTCAAGGAAACTGAAAAAGATAGTTTAAACAGACAATGTGTTGTTGAGTTTTTTTAAATAGTGAAAACGTTATTACGTGTCAGTTTAATGAAACCGATAATAGAGAAGGATTGTTTCTCTTCAAGAAAATAATTTGTCAATTCTTTGACTCAATTTTTTCTCTCCAATTCTTTGTCAATTCCTTGATTTTTGTTCTGAGGATGTCATTCGAAAAGAGCCAAAAAAAGTTCAATTGGTTTTTTTCCTTAAAATAAAAGTTCATATGAAAATTAAATTTAGAAATTGAGAATTTTAACAGTGAATTTTAAGAATATCAATGAAACGAGATGCAGTTAGAATGCTACCTAAGTTTCTAAAAATTGTAAATTATAAATTGTACTTTATAATTCTTCAAAATTTTAACTTTTTTTGCAGTATTTTGATTTGATGATATAATTATATAAAATATTCATAAGAGAATTGTTATTAAACAAAGCATAATGACGTCATTTGAAAACTGTAAACCTAATCGCTCGAAAAGTTAACCATCAAGCGATTATTTACTTTTTAAAAACTGAAGAAACTTGGAGAGAGCTCCAAAATCTCCGTGTCGCGGAAATAACCCATTGTTTTTTTATTATAATTAAAAATTGTGAAGAAATAAAGTGATTTGAAATAAGATGAAATAATTTCTTTTGTGAAAAGTAAAAAATAAATATGTTTTGCGCTTTAATTAAGATGTTAATAAATTTTAAATGAAATAAACATTAAATTAAAAGTTCATTAATTTTTCCTTACATTAAATTTTCCTTAAATTGAAAACTACTGTTCTGCATTTATCATTAAATTGGAAACAACTATTTTGTATTTATCATTTACTTAAAAACGGCTGGTATTTATTTATTATTAACTTAAAAAAAGATTAGTAATAATTTATCATTAACTTAAAAACGACTAGTAATTATTTATTATTGAATTGAAAATAATTGAGAATTTAATCTTCGAGTTGAAAATGACTAATAAGAAATTATCATTGAAATGAAATTGATTAGTAAGCATTTATCAGTAAATTAAAAGAGGTTTAATCTCACTTTTCCAGATGTTTTAATTCCTTTAAGTAGACAAGCAATAACCACGATCCAACTTAATAGGAGGCAAAGACACAGATCCCATTTTATCCCACCTGGCTCATCTATTCCTGGTGATAGAGCCAAAACATAATTTCTGAAAAACAAAAGAATTTGTAATGACACAAAAACTTTGAAGTATATTTAAAAAAACGTAACAATTTTAAAACTGCTTCCAGAATTAAAATTTTTACTCAGTTTAAATTTTTGAAACTTTATTTCGAAATTAAAGAAGAGTTTTATCATTTCATGCATTAATGATTATTTTAGCAAATAAGAGAGATTCATTTTTAATGTGAATATAATATTTTACCTCTGACAGTTACAAGAATAAAAAATAATATAAATTTTAATGTGATATATAATCATGATATCAATTATTATTATTGTTGACTATCACATTATTAAAGAGATTATTTAGATCACTCAAATATTTTTATTAGATCATTAGATATACTCAGATACTTATTTAGATGTACTAAATTTGGATAAATTCATGGAGAGTTTCTCTAAAATTTTGTAAAAACTCATATATTTAGATAAACTCACAGAGAGTTTATCTGGATATTACTTATGTATTTCTTTAATTTTGAATCCATCTCCTTTGACAAAATAATAATCAAATCTATATTTTTATTTTTATTTAAAAATATTTCTGTCCCCCCCCTAATGATATTAAATATTTTTGCAGCTTAGGGGAATTTCTTTTTGATGAAGAAAATTTTATGCTTCATGTTGGAGATTCTCATATACTTTTTCCTTGTTTGTAGGAAAAAGCGAATGCAGACTCCTCTATACAAAGCTTTTAAAATTTTTAAATAGTTCTCAAAAAATTAAATATTTAAAGGCTTATTAACTTATGCCCGCCATATATAATGCTGAAATCAGATTGTCGGGCCGATTAACTCAAATATACCAGTTTTACAGCTGTGCTCTTGAATAAACTAATTTGATCAAAAAATTGAAAGGGGGAAAAAGTTGATATATTTCGAGTATCAAAAAATAGACGCCCATTCCAAAGATTAGCTAGACGTTATTGAAGAAAGTAAAAGAGAACTCTTCCTTTTTCAAAACGATATGAAAAAGAAAAAAGCAAATTTGCCAACAAAATAGTGGAAAATGAAATAAGAGTTCATTAATATTAAATTTGTATTTAATTTTCACATAGATATTCATTGTTAGCGTTTATTTCATTCAGGTAAAAAATATCTCAATTTTCAAATATTTGTTTTTAGGCTAATTTTATCTGAATTTTATTGCACTTTATTTAACAGAAAAATAAAGTTAATCGAGAGCGAGTTTAATACAAAAAATCACGTTAAAAGTAACTCTTGAAAATATATAATTTTCGAATGTGAAATCGATTTTCGTCCAACTGTGTAATATATCCATTGTTAATATTTCTGCAAACAATAATGAATTACTTAAATAATTAGACTTATCTACTACAGAAAAATTGTTCGTAGAAGTGTTTTCTTGGAAAAATGGTTAATGTATTGATGCATTTTGAATGAATAAGGATGCCTTGAAGTTTCATTGTGCTAAGGAAAATAGTTTAACATAATTTAAGGCGAAATGATATAGTTAAATTTGTCCTGCAAGAATTTTTAAATAAATGAAAACATCTATTAGTTCACCCACAAAAAATAAAAAAAAGCTCCATACCCAATTTTTATCATTTTAGGCCATTTATCATCACAATGCGAAATCTTGGCGAGCTATTCTGACTTAGATTAATGATATGGATAAATATAAATCAGGGAATAATGAATTGGGGAATGAATTTTTATAACGCCAAAGGGGAAAATTGGCAGTGTAATAACTCAAAAAGTCTGCCAGTTTTAAAATATGAGTTTTATAGAGATATAAAACTTTTAAATACTCATCTTGATTAAACTATTATATATAAATTGCACATTACTAACAGTTAGAAAATTGGATTTTGTCAACTTATTTAGAATATTTTTATGGATGTTTTATATTTAGTTCAAGATTAGAATTCTTTATTCAAGGGAAGAAAAGTATTTGCCGACTTTTAGTCTTTTTGTGGAAGAATTTCCTCAGTTTTAAGAATTTAAGATTTAACGTCTATTCTTGGTTTAATAGAGAAAAAGTTTAAAATGGTTCTGATCATTGGCCAAAATACAGATGTTGTTATAAATGAAAAAAGATAGGACAAAAAAAGATAAATTTCTGATATATAATTTGGGCATTTTCCAAAATAAAGGAACACACACAATTTATTTTCTATAAAATTATACAACTTATGTACTATTATGTACTATATTTGATTAAACTACGTACGAACATGACTTTTCATGAAACTAACAGTAAATATTTGCTAAATATAATGTAAATCTTAAAACAATTTTCTTAGTGTTGATAGGAATTTTTCCAAAAATTTCAGAGTCCCCCCCCCTGCATATGGAGAAAAAATCAGGTAAGATTATTGCACCGTATGGTATTGACATTTCTTGTAAATTAAAAAAACATATATCTGGTTATGAAACAAAAATAAACTACATTTTCCCGTTCGTATGATAACGGCTTATTGGAAATTCTGGTTTTCAAAATTATAGTTCTTATTTCCACTAATTTAATTAAAAACTATCCGAATAAATGGATTTTTTACGTCCCGCTTTAGTGTATTATGATAAAATTACCATATCTTGCTACATTTACCAAATTTTATTACACATTATAACACTATATTATCTTGTTAATTTTACCAAAATCAAAATCATCAAGCGATTCAATAAAAGCTGCCAAGATTTTTAGTGTTCCCATAGAGCAAGAAACACTTTAAATTTTACCATATTCTGTCAGTTTTGACCATGCCTTTTTTCTCAGTAGAATCTATGCCTAGTTAATTCTATGTCTAGTTAACTCTATGTGCTGTGTTGATATATTTTAAAGTAATATCAGAGAAACATAAAATATATTATTAATTAATTATGAAATCTGTCCTTGGGGTAGAATAATTATTTCGTATTAGGGAAAAGGTAAATTTGCACTTTTTGTCAGTTTGTTCAAACATGATTTTATGCTGTTCAAAAAAATATGTTTAGGATATTTAAAATTTACGATTACCAAAAAGTTCAGTTAATTAGCCTATTTTTGTGTTTCTTAGAATTTTGTAGATGAAACTGATTGAAAGTATCATTATCAGTAAGAACAAAGTTATTTTAAATGTTTATTTGTGTTTAATATAAACTAAAGCTAGTATAAATTAACTATTATCAAAGAACGTTACACATAAATAAAACCTGAATAAGAGTCATGAATAATAAATGTTTGAAAAATATTATGTTTGCTTTAAAAAACATGTTCCAAATAATTTTTCGTAAAAATAATAAATAATTTATTACTATCAATAAATAATTTATTTCTCATCAATTTCTAAAACTGTAACTATGTTAATGCTTAACACATTCATGATCAAATTTTTGCATAAAAATGTTTTGTTCTATCTTTAAGGAACAACACATGAATTACTTTATTTTTTTTACAGAGTATATTTTTTTCTATCTAAACTATTTGGTACGGAATTTAAAGTAAAATGTATTAAAATAAATAAAAAATGTAAAAGTTTGAGCCAAGTGAATAAAATTGGAATTTTTACGCATTTTCATTTTATGTAATACGAAATATTATTCTTTTTGACGTTATCAGTTTTGTTATTGTTATTGACTGACAAGAGGTAAAAAAAAATATTTTCCGATTGGCTTGTCAGATGTAGATGAGTTCGGGTTTCAAAATTATAAGTGATTTACTTATAGTACTTTATCTCAATTATCTGATATAAAATAAATTCTAAAAACATAGAGGTTACATAAAAACCCTTTTTTTGCTTTTCCAAACATTCATACAGACATTTTATTTTGTATTAGGCAAAACAAGCCCACCTGAAACAACGATTTGTCAGCCAACATTATCAAGAATGTTAAGACTTCTCCTTTTTGAAATCAGCGGCTTAATGGAAGCAATATATAGGTGTCAAAAGTTATAAAATTGAATAATTCAGCCAAATTTTGACAGCCAAAAACAGCCAGAAGAAACACAAAGGTTAAAGCTCCCACTTTTCGTAACAAATGGCATAATGGAAGCAAATATCGACAACATAGCGCAATGTAGAATTGTCAAACATGTTAAAATTAAATAATTCAGTTAAACTTTGACGAACTAAAAGCAGAAATAAGGCAAAAAGCTCGCTGTTAAGAGTTATGTTCACCATTCTATGCTTTTCTTCCAAATGTGTTAATTCAGCCAGATTTCAATGGTAAAAAGGTCAAAATCATTCATAAATAGCATATGGGTTAAGGTTTCTAATTTTTAAGATTAACAGCATAATGAAAGCACTATGTTTCTCATTACACAATACATAGCAGATAAATGTGTTAAAATAAAATGATTCAGCCAAATTTTGACTATATTTTAACATAAAGCATGCAATGAAACATATCAATCATTGCAAATGTTAATGCGAAGAAAAGAAAACCTAAATGACATTTGGTCTGATGATTGGAGTTTCACTTACTAACATATAAATTTAATGATTCGAGGATCAAAATTTTAACACGCTAAAATATTTCCTGAAACGAACTTTTAAACTGTGGAATCAGATATAAAAATACATTCTTCGAATAACCATTCTTTCTTTTTTCTACGGATTTGGATTATCGATCCTTGGTCCCAATAGTAAAGGCAGGAGAGCGATCGAATGTTTGAGCCCCTCAATGTTAATTTAACTTTTAACACATTTCACCATGTCCTGAAACTGTTTAAGATATTCGAATAAATTTTTCACAGAGTTGTAAAAGTGGCTTCTACAAAGACAAATTTATGTATAAATGTTTACAATTATTGATAATTCTTCATTCTCTATTTTATTACGTGCTAAAGTATTTTTTAAATTGTAAATTACAATTAAAATTTTTAATTAAGTTACAATTTTTAACTAAGTAATATCAAATGACAAAGCAAAAGTTTGTACAAAATCGATTAAATAGTATTTGAGGTATCAAAATTTGAAAATGCGAAATATTTGATAATATTAACCTTTAAAAAACGAGCACGAATTACATCATATTTGAGTTT